TCAGACAGTTCTGGTAAGAAGGAGGTGCGTATTTGGACGATGGACTGGTGACCTGTCCAGGGTGTATCCTGCCTTCCACCCAATGACAGCTGGGATAGGCTCCAGCACCCCACCATGACCCAGAAGGATAAGCGGTTTAGATGATGTGTGTGTGTGTGTGTGTGTATGTCAATATATTAATCTGAGAAACATAACAGTCTACTTTTAACCTGACAGCCACCCCTACACACAAAAACATACAGTGTATGCTGTGTAGGAGAATTCAATGCATTTCAACAAGAAGCCACACACACACATACACACACACACACACACACATACATACATACACACACACACACACACACATACATACACACACACACACAAGCTGTGGATTTACAGAGAAGTACTTCTTTAATTCATTTCTCTCTGGTCGCTCTGCCTAACTGAGTGCTGTCCCTCCATTAACACGCATGGATCATAACTTAATGATCAATTGCGTTTTATGTTGAAGTGTTAGAGCAGGAAAAACACAGAAACAGTTGGACTGGACTTGGGAAACACTGCCCTAACATAACCCTGAAATAACCCTGAAATAACATGTATGCATTTTACCAGCACCTAACAAAGGAATATCCTACCTGTATGGGGTCTGTTGTGCTTGCCATGGTAACTTTTACTGAAAATGGAATTAGCTGAGTTAAATAACTAGCAAACATAACATAAAGGGGTAAAGATGAAACTGGTAGCTGCAGGTTTACTTAACCTTAAAATAAGTTAACATTAACTTATATAACACTGGCCAGTTTTAGCCAGTTGACAATTTATACCTATGTAGCTATAACATATAGCTAGCTAGCTACAGTTTCATTTGGTTAGCATTAGCTCATGTTAGCTGGCAAGAAAATAGTAAATTTCCAGGAAACACACAATAAAAATGATACATTCAATGGGTGGAAGTAATATAATATTATTATTTATTCTAAATGTCACTATACATTGTGTTCTTACCTCTAAAGACAAAGCAAAGCACCCAACGGTTCTGGAGTGAAATAAGCAGTTTTCCTCAGAATTGGACTCCAGTATTTTGATCTGAAAAGCTGTGACTCCGGCTCATGAACTGCTGCGCAGATTCGCTGATCTTCAAATCAGTGATCCGTTTTACAGATCATGAGATCTGCTGCCGAGAAAAATTTAAAATATGACAACAGAAAATGCTCAAAGTAGGTAACAATGCTGTGATGTAGTACCAATGTTGAGGAATACGTTAACAGAAAGGCCGATATATGCTCCAAATGTTTAGCGCCGTTTCAGTTGTAACCCTAACCAGTATTCAACATATGGGTTAAAACGCCTAAAAAAAAAAGTAAAAAAAAATAATAATAATTCAATTCACATTTCAACGTTACATCGACATCATTTTCCCAACATCATTTTTTAATGTCGAAGACTGGTTGTGTTTAGGTCATGTGACGTCACAACCAAAAACTTACCAAAAAAGCCCTTAAATCAAAGTTGTGTACCTGCTGGGGAAGGCTAGGTGTAAAAGTAACTCACTAACAGTTACTATTTTTTTTATGTTAAATGTATTGTCGGTATTATTAGAGCCTTTGGATATTATTATTAATATAAGGTCATATTAGCAGTCAAGCTAACCCCAGTTGTGGAGAGTCTGACTAGCTGACATAACTTACCTTCGATATGAAACACCGACTTCTTTATTTCCTAGAACCAGATGTTTTTAAGCAGTAATGAAGGGAAATATGAACATATTTATGAAGAAAATTACAGATATTTCTCACCAGACATGACTGAGAGCAGCAGGAGGAGCAGAGCGGCGGTTGGAGTGAGTCAACCGAAGAAATTCGAATGACGCCCAGGCTGCTCAGCTTTGCCAGGCTGAACCCCGCCCTCCTCGGTCACAGCCAATCAAATAACAGCATCATCAAACAGCTCCGCCAATGAGGTCGCGGAATCACAAAGCAGCGCTGGGGTTTAAAATCTCAGCGGTTCAGCCTCGGACAGTCCCTGCTGCTGCTGCATGTTTGGTGAGTTATAATTATAAAAGCATTAAACATATTGTTGAGGCGCATAGTGCGCAGAGGTCACCAACTTTCTGCAGAGTCAATCGCTACAGACAGATCATTTCACATTGGTGCTTGGTATATGCCTGCTGATGTGATCTCTGATCTACAGTTCGATGAATGTCTCTATGGAGATGAACACTAAGCTGTTTGACAGTCTCACTGCCTTCTACAAAGTGGAGAAACTCAAGTGAGTTTGCTTCTTACTACAGCAAGTGTAAGTGTGAATTTTACATTGATGTATATTATCTGTTTTACAGTAAGCTATGTCTGTATCTCTCTCTCTCTCTTCCTTTCTCTTTCTGGAGGGTGATTTTTTGTAAGGGAAAAAACTCTTTATTCTCTTTATTTATTCATTTACGCTTTATCCATTTTAGCTCCTAATAAATGATCCAGTATATAGTGGAGTGTTATGAGAGTGTTTTCAGAACTGTTTTTACAACCTTAAAATAGCTTTATATTAGAAAGAAACCAAAAGAGAAACTTTTTTCTATCTTATACTTTAATAAATGTTTCTACAAAGATATTCAAAGTACAAACAAGGTTCCAGTCATCTGAAAAGGTTACAGGAATGTAGAAAGAAAGTGTTTATTTCTATAAATAATGGTTTCCATGGAAGACAAAGCAAATTTTACACTGATGTGCCAAAAGTCATAGGATAGCAGTATGTAAATTGATTATGAAGTGGCGCTACCTCATGGACTGCTTGGGAACACCCACACCTGTATAATTTGTCAGTGAGTGAGGTTGAACACTGGCCAGTTTGCTTATGGCAAGGCAACATGAATTGCCTGGAATTGTCAGTGCGAACAGACAAGCCACTCGGGCAGAAATCACATCCACATTGACCGGTGACTACCATGTTTCACTGCTTATTTACCATTTGCAGCCCTTCATGGACTTCATGTACTCCTACAATGATGGGATATTCCAGCAGGATAATGCACTGTGCCATCAGGTCCAAGTTGACCAGAATTGGTTCGAGAAGCGTTCTGGAGATTTCAGATGAATGGTGTGGTCTGCACGTTTGCCCAACATGAGCCTAATTGAGCATTTATGGGATGCGGTGGAGAGGTCAATTCACACCAGAGATCCTGTTCCTACAAATACCACAGAGCTGTGGGTGGTTATCCAGACATTATGGCTCAACATCCCTCCAGACGTCTTCTGTCCACTTGTGGAATCAATGCTACGTGGAGTTGCTGCACTTCGCCTGGCTAGTGGGGGTCCTACCCAATACTAGTTTCTGTCCCATGACTTCTGGCACTTCACTGTACTATTTATTTCAGCTGTTAGACTTCCTTTATCTATATTTACATAGAAAATCATCATGGAACACAGAAAAAGCATGTTTGAAGTATAAAGCAGAAGTGAGGGATGGATAAATTTGCCCCATTTCAGGTAATCAGTGTAGGAATAAGACCAGTTTTGCTAACAGTGCATATTTGTGTCTGAACCAAACTTAAACAACTTAAATTCATCCTGAACATCCAAGTTATTCAGTGGAACACTTTAAAATAATTTATGTACATCTCAGTCCCTGACCTTTACTGTGTGTCCAAATGTATCCAGACACTCTTTTAATTAGTGAATTCAGCTACTTTAAGCTGCAGCTCCACATGATCCTAAGGTCTCCATGCCCAATGCCAAGCGTGGGCTAGAGGGGTATAAAGCCCCCCAGCATTGGGCTGTGGAGCAGTGGATCTGCGTTCTCTGGAGTGATGGAGCTCAATCTAATACCTTTGGGATGAGTTGGAGTGTCCAGAACTGACCATCCAACATCAGTAACTGACCTCACTAATGCTCAGTCAGATCCTCACAGCAATGTTCCAACATCTAGTGTAAAGCCTTCCCAGTAGAGGCTGTTACTGCAGCACAAACTCACTATTAACACCTTCTTTCAGAACAAAATCAAAAAAGGGTTCTTAACTGTTCAACATCATGTAACAATATTTACACAGAAAAAGCTGACCGTCTCTGTCAGAACAGACCCCTGTATTTACAAACTGATAACTTTTCTGGAAGAAATATTAAATATTTAATGTAACCAGACTTTATCCAAGTAATTTTCATCATGAAAGTTTTATGCAATGTAAAGCGTAGCTGATGTTTACAAATCATGTTAAAGTGGTGTTTTCTGTTCTACACTGCATCCAGCAGCTTGTGGAATCCACACCAAGGTAAATTCAGGCTATTCTGAAAACCAAATAAGGACAACAAGCCACCTGTGTATAATCCAGTTAATGAGCTAACAGTCTCTACAAACACCCTGCCAAATGTGCTATTTAATATGAGGTCATTACTAATACACTATAAATAACATCCAACAAAATAACAAGAGAGAACTCAAATATGTTTGTCATTAATATCTGTACAATACTAACACAGCACTGCTGCGCTGTGAGAAGTAATGCACTCCTTGTACTCACAGATACTTTATTAACGTCAGCCATTTCTTTTTTATGGGGTTTATTTCACAAAACAAGTTTTCTGTGTTAGCCAGATAAATGCAGGGGGATTCAGGTGATCTTTAAAAAAATCTGCACAGTTCAGTGTTTGAGATGTGAACAGAGTGATTCAGAGTGATTTGGTGTGAAATGTTTGATAGCAGAGACTCAGATTTCCTTACAGTGGTATATAAAATATAGTCGAAAATCACCAGTGAACCTGCACGTATTCTCGACTTTTATATGGAATGTTGATGATGGTAAAATAGCAAAATATCAGTCTGAGACATCAGGCAGTGTATTCATAACCAATTAATGTAATAACCTTCAGTGATTAAACTCTTCGGATGTCTGGTTCTTATGACCACCACTGTGATTCTGAAATTATATAGAAATTTTGAAAAACCAGTGGAATTTCCCTTTAATCTGAACCTGTGCAGTCAGAGAAGAGGCAAGACACGTTCCTATTGGACAATCCTCATTTTTGGCTTAACTGCTAACAGAGAGATGCTGCTTTGTGAAATAATCCTGTTTGATTTGGATGCAATACTGATTACTGCTGCAGAGATCTAGAACAGACCACCCAAATCTGTGTCCCAGATCTAGAACACCTCCACAGTGAGTGTGTTACGCTGCTCATGTTTTGCGTTTTTGAATCTGGCTGTAGATCTGAGATGGGTCATCAGTCGCTTTCACATCCAGAGGCCTGTGGAACATGAAGAGAGAAAATACCCACTGACAGAACTGCTGAGAATAAAAATAAATGGTAGGATTATGTGTTATTGAGCCTAAACTATCTTCTCTCTATCTGCACTGTATCATTAATGACCATGGTCAACAGTTGACACGTTTCACTGTACATAAAACCTGCTGACTCAAACCTCACTTATAATGTAATTCAAAGAGCAACTGCCGAATTACGAGAAACATTACATGTTTATGGCACATTTTATACTGTATGTTTTTTGGCTAACATGTTCAACAAATTCAATAGAAATTGTTCACTAAAATTAGCAGAAAATGCCATATATAAGTGTGTGCTCTGTAGAGGACGTGTTAACTCATATTCACTTAGAAAATCAACAAAAACCCGTAATTTGACCAGTAGTGCACAAACTGTTGCATACAACTGTACATTTGACTGAAGAATTCATGAAAGTGTTCTATAAAAACATGTTTAACAAGCCTTTTTTGCTCTATGGCTTCTATGATGTGTGTGTTTTGAGTCAGCGGTTTTCAGTTAATTTTTAAAGTGAACCTATTATGCTCATTTTCAGTTTTCATAATTATATTTTAGGTCTACTAGAATAGATTTACATGCTTCAATGTTCCAAAACAAATTATTTTTCTCATAATGTACATCTCTGTTCACCCTCCTGTGTCTTTAAGCCCCGCCTCCCGATGAGCCCAGTGTGCTTTGATTGGTTAGCTCACCCACTCTGCTCTGAGTGGGCGACCTCTAGAGCAGCATCCTGCTACAAGTTCAACCCCAACACCTCTGTGGCTGTTCTTAAAATCAGCTAAAATAAGTGGCAGAGCTGATCCACCTTCACAAGCTAGACTGGAGCAGGATGTTTCAGAGTGGTAGATTTTTATTTTGTAGCGCTCTGTGCGCTGTGTAAGAGCGTGCCAATCTTGATGGCAGGTAGGCAGTAAGCATTGTGTTATTATGAGATGATGTCATCTTGTAACAAAGGAAAAATGTGGCCATACTCTTTTAATGTCTTATTTCTCCAGACATACAAAGCTCTTTACAGTCAGTGTGGATGTAATGAAAGGTTTTGCTCACTGGGTGGCAGCAGCACGTCTGCTGATCTTCACATCAGCGTAATGAACTTCCTCTATAACGTCCGGAGGAAGTGTGGAAGCAGTGGATGGAGACTTGACTGGTGAGTTAGAGGGTCTGAAATGAACACTGGAGTACTGAACGTCATCCTGATTATCTGTAGCTTCTTCACACTGAGAGAGAGGGAAGAGAGAGAGAGAGAGAGAGAACAGTATTAGAATTACATTATATTTGATCAAGTTACATAATCACACAGTCCCTCCTCCATGTTCACCTGTCCACTCTGCTCTGAGCTCCTGTGGCCTTCAGCTGGGCTCGATTTCCTCCTCCTGATAAATAAACAATGGAATAAAAAGCTGCATAAAACTGTATTTGACAGTCATACATAAGCGTAACTCATTGTCTTGAATTGGTAAGTCAGCTGAAGTCGACATCTGATCTCATTGTTTCAACTTACTTTGAATTCATATCTATCTATCACATTTATTTAATTTCCAGTCTAAACAGGCATTACGGACAAGTTAATCATTTTTCTCTAGCCCTTTCTGAGGAGGTTATGTATGAGATAATCAACTGGCATTGAGGAAGAAGGTCAAAGGAAAATAATTCAAAACCTAGGAGTTTCCAAAACTAGTTAAAAAAACGATTAAAAGCTACAGAAAAAATGGCATTCCTGTCAACCAACTGGAAGACCTGGTAGACCACCAGAATTGTCCCAATCAGATTGGGCACTGGTGGGTGGATCCCCGAGGGCTGAGGAAAGGGCACACGAGCAGCACCCTCGGCAGCATCAACGACACAGTGGACGACAGAAGAGGTGGCTAGGAGGAGTGCCACTGCTGCTGTCATCGGCCTCAGTAGCACTGGACTTAATGCTGCCTGTGAGGAGTTTCACCATGCCCAGGAGGAGGTCTGTGCACCCAGAGTGGGGTACGCCAAGGAGCCCTGCTATCATCTCCACGTTGTGCACTAGACCAGGAGGCACCCCTGCGCCAAGGACACAGCCCAGAGAGAGGTTTAGGGGTGCCCGCTGCTGAAGAGCGGGCACTCTGCTGGACTTGTGCTGACCGGGACAGTGCACAGGCCAGGACTCTGGCTGCAGAGAGGCTGCAATGTGCGCCTCAGTGACTTTGTTTGGGCTGTATGGGCCGCTGGGACAGCTGACCCGTGTATAGCGTTCTCCATGGTCTCTGCACTGTGTGGGGAGTAAAGAGGATGTGGCCATGCAAAGTTAAAAAGGATGCTGTTGTTATTGTTGTTGTGGTGTTGTTTAGTTTGTAGTTATTAGTGTAATTGTGACTGAGAAGGGTGGCTTTATAGTGTGTTAGAAGTTCTGTTGTCTAGTGGTAGTTGTGTTTATTGGAGGTATTGTATCCAAGGAGGGTGGGCTTTGTAGTGAACTAGTGGTTAGAATTGACTACCCTCCTTGTGTGTCATATCCTCCCATGTTACCCCCTTCCTGTGTTTTGTGTTGGGGTAGCGCTGGGCTGGGTATTTCGGTTTCTCGGTTGAAGTGCCTGTTCAAAATAAAAGCATCTGCCTGAAAAATGCGTATTTGCCTGAACAGGCAATGTTGTCTGTGTCTTCTACAACAATGTTTTAGAGTTCGAGGTTTTCATGCAATTATATGTTCTGCTTTTTACTGAGGTTAAAAAATGAATAACTTGTACTAAATGGCTGTTTTCACTGGAAATTAAAGAAAAGAAAAAGTGATCTTTAACATTTGCACAGTACTGTAAAGAGATGAAGAGATACATCAAAATTATTTTTTCTCAGCTTGCAGTACAAAGTTTCTGTAACACTTATGTTCAAAACAATAAATAAGTTAATAGCTCACAAACCAGATCCATACTGCTACAGCGATGAGTATCAGAATCAGACAGACTGCTGCTGCTGCTGCCATGATGACAAACTTTGACGGTCCGCTTCCTTCTGGACTTTCAGGAACAAACCCTATTAATGACAGCAGATGAAAAGCCGAGTATTTCTGTGTCTTTACTTAACGGGCAATGCAAACTCATATACACATTATCTAAGCCACTTATCTTCCTAGGTTGCAGGGGTGCTGAAGCCTATCCCAGCAGTCATTGGGCAGAAGAAAACACCCTGGACACCCTAAATTCAGCAAATAACCAGTCACTGTGCATTAAAATATGAAGAAGTGTGTTCTCTGTAGAGAACGTGATAGCCTCTTATGCTCCTTGGAACCACCTGCTACATTCGAAAGGTGGGTGTCATATGAGGCTGTAACTGTCTTCTTTCCAGTCAAATAGATGGGTGATGTAATTTTAAACCCTTATAATAAAAGAAGCTGAACTCAATTTTTTTTTCTACTGAAAGTCGACCCATTTTTCCACAAATCTGGGCTATAAACTATAAACAGATGGCGTCTCTTCAGTGATCTGCTCTGTAAAACTTATTTTTATAAAATACAAAGAGCTTCTAAGATTTTTGGCTTTCAGCAGTAAATTGTAAGCATATAGCAATATGTGTGATCATATATTACATAAAACACATGTTCTGTTAATTTGAGGGGAGCTTTTAAAATAAATTAATACATAAAATAAAAATGTGCATTCATTTCATGCAGTTACTGAATAATTTGCCTTATGATTTGGTCACGTAAATTCAGATGGACAAACCAAAATATACCCTGGAAAATAAGAGGTTAACTTTTACACTTGGAAAACATAGTGTATTAGACCAAGGGTGACCAAATTACATTATAAAGTACATAATAATGATGAACCAGTGTTATGTCATTTAAAGATTGGGTTGCCATATGTGCTGTAACTGGTATTGTATATTAAGGTGTATAATGGACAGAGGTGGCAAGTAATGAATTACATTTACTCTCGTTTCTGTACTTGAATACATTTTCCCCTGTAACGGCGCTTGTTGGAGTTGAATTAAATCAGTACTTTTACTCTTAATTGAGTTAATTAGCTTGAGTTATGAACCAATTAGAAGAAATGTAGTGAAATTAAAAAAGCTCTGAAAAACGAATCAAAGAGGAGAAAAACAGTAGCTGTGAGCCACAAAAACACTTTAGCCCTGATGTTATGTTCATATGTATTGTACTGGAATGTGTTACTGAATACATTTAGGTCAGGATATTCAGTATCCAGTCATCACTACAGTATACTTATATAAAAGTATAATATTTCATAGTATTTCTGCCCAACTCTGAGTACATGTAGACCTACCTCTGCTTCCTAAAGCACAAGAATACTGGCGTATATCCTCACTGCTCGCTGACTCCAGGTAGAGCTTGTTGTATTTGGTGGGTTTGTTGGTTACAGGCTCTCCGTTCTTGTACCAGATGTAAGTGGGGTTGTTAGGTAGAGTGCAGGTGGAGGTACAGGTCAGTGTTACTGTCTGACCTTCTGATGGACTGCTGGGACTCGCTCTCACCTGAAGATCTGAACACACAAAAGATAAATCAATGCAACATTCACCGCCAGACAATAACATGTCCTGTTGATTTTTTAAAGTGAAAATTATTAACACATCCTCTACAGAGAAGTTGAATATGACATTTACCTGCTGATTTTAGTGCACAATTTCTATTAATCTGAGTTTAAGATATTGGAAAAACATACTGGATCATTAGTGCAGAATAAGATGCAGAATATTTTGCATTCCACATCTTTTTTTGCACCAGTGCTAAAGTATGCTTTTTTTCCCCAATACGTTAAACTCAGCAAATGCTCGTCAGTGAGCAGACACTTCAACAGTGAGTCTTTACAAAGACCAGAAATGCCTAGCCTGGCCCACTCCAACTCAAAACACATGGAGGGAATAACACAGGACATGACACACAAGGAGGGTAGACACTTCTAACCACTCCTCTTTACTCCAATAAACATATGTACCACAAGGTTGCAGAACAACAACAGTCTTTCTTCAACCAGGAGTGTAGCCCCTCCAGAGAGCCACTTTGTATGGCGTCGCCCCCTAAGCTCGGTGGTAGACGCTGCAATACAAAATGTGCCAAAACGTTTGCACAGACCACATTTCATGTTGTATTTTTTTATATGTTAAATTCAGCAAATATACAGTAACCCCTTAAATGAGCTGGGCCCACCGTTGTTTCCTACACACTTCCATAACCTTAGAATAATTAAGCTAGTTTGTATTGTAGTCTGTGTAGTTACTGTATAATAAGCCTTAGTATGTCATAAGCCTGGGATTTTAAGGGGTTAAAATGTGCACAGTATATTCTCTGTAGAATATTGTTAACTTATTTTCACTTATAAAACCTACACAACATCGTTTGAACAAGGGTGCACAAACTTTTGCACATGACTTATAGAATTCAAACCCTCTTCATCAGGAGACCAGCGTTGTGTCCAGAGCACATAACAGCAGAGCAGATCATTCTTCAGACTGTAATAAACTAATTCAGTTAAAAAAAACAGACATAACTGAACCGTCCAGGCTCCGCCCACTACTGTGTTCTTTTGTAGCTACTGTTACTGAGCTGGACAAGCTTTACAGAACACTGGCAAAAATCCTATTCAGCCTAATCAGAAGTTGTTGGGAACAAATCAATTGTTGACAGTTTTGTTGACAGAAAGAATGTAATTGTGGGCGGAGCCTGGATAGACTGATTTGGTGTGGAGAGGTACCTGAAACATTCAGAATGACTCCAGGTTTACCGAAGAATCCTTCAGTGTTAGTAACAAATCTAAAGTGATATTCTCCAGAGTTGTTCTTTCTCACGTCTCTCATTCTCAGAGTGCAGTTTCCCTTTTTATTCCCAAGAAACTGAACTCGACCAGCAAACCGGTCATCCAGACTCAGATCCTTCGGCTCCACTTTAGACTCATAATGCCAGAATGCTTCATTAACTGTGAGTTTACTGGGATGTGAGTAAGTGCAGAGAAAGTCCACTGATGATCCCTCCACAGCACACAGTCTTCTGTCTGAGTACCTCACATTCCAACAGTTCTCATCAAAAACACCTGTAAAAGTAAAACATTACTTTTTTTATTTGAATCAGATCATAAACATAAAGTTATAAACAGCTCTGATACTCACACACTGCACTGGAATAGATTTCATGGCTTCCTGTGACAACAGAGCAGGAGTAACTGCCAGGATTGCTGGGTAGAACCCAAGTGCTCTGGTTGGTTTTCCTGTTGATTCTTCCTCCATTTTTAGACCAGTGGTAATAAGATTCAGAAGTCAAATTGCAGGACGTGATACAGGTCAGTTTTTTCTGATCTACAGTGTCAGAGCTCACCATCACCTGCAGGTCTGAGCAGAAATAATGTTAAAGATGAAGAAATATACATGTATGAGATGGTAACTTTGAGAAGAAGGAAAAAAGTTTCTTAACTTCAGTGTCTGTTAATGTAATGATATTTAATTTTAAGTAATATTGGATCATTTCTGTTGGTCCATTTATTATCAAATGTTCATACAATGTAAAGAGCAGCTAAAGTCAAAACAGCAGTGCTGATATAAAGTTCTGTGCAAAAGTCTTAGGCAGCCATAAAAATCTTTTAAAACTATTTATCTGGTGTATTTTTGCCAGTAAAAACACTACTTGACATTAAAATAAATTTGAATAAATACAAGAAAATGTAAGAAGAATGTACTGTTTTCGCTGCTGTCGGAAGAAAACCTCGCATCTCCATTTTTGACGTTTTTCAGTTTTTGACATTTTTAAAATGCCTGTTTCTCTTTATATTGTGTGTAAATTTCATTCATGATGAATGAAATTCTGGTTCCACTGACTTACATTAAAAGTAAAGTAGGTTTTTTCCTTTTCCTGTAAAGTTACCATTTTGGAGATACGAGGTTTTCTTATGACAACAGTGATATATTAGAAAAACATAGGTTTGGTTCCTGTCTTCTCGCTGAACTCCAGCTGTCACATGGATTGTTTAGTTCCATCAGCAGCACCTGATTTAATTTGCTGAAGGATTGATTAGATAAACTAGGTGTTGGATGGTAACTGTATATACTGACCGTCCTCCAGGAGAGAACTGGAAATGGTTAAGATACCAAGCTCACACACAGAGCAATCATTATGGGTTGTTATTATTTTTTAATGAATTAAAATGTTTTTTTGCTCAAATAATTGTTTGAGCTAAACGGCTTTACATATTATTGTATCAAGACATTTGCACAGCACTGTATGTCTTCATATCAGTCACAAAACTTTGAAAATCCCTGGTCAAATGAAGTTTTCTTGCATTTATAATGCATGAATAAAATAGTTAAAGTGACTGAGCAGCAGATTATAGTGTTGTATCTTCTAGTTGAGCTGTATTACCTGAAACTGTTAGTCTGACTGCTGAGCTGAGAGATCTCTCTCCTACTCCTGTGATGATCATGAGCTGATATTCTCCTGAGTCTCTCTCTCTCAGGTCTGTTATTGTGAGAGTAGAACTGGACCCATAATCAGTGTATCTCACTCGTCCTGCGTAGTCTGAGTCTAAAGCTAAATCCTCTGGATCTTCCTCATTCCTCCATTTAGCCTTTAGTTTGGAGCTGAACCAGAAGATTTGCTGAGGTTTGGTGGTGGTTGAATAAGAGCAGATCAGGTTCGCTGCTGATTCTCTCAGAGCGCAGACAGTCTGAGGACTGCAGGACACGATCACTCTCTGACCCAGAGAACCTGAAACTGAATCAGTGCACAGATCTCACCAATCTGAACTCCTCACAGACTTACACTGTATAACTCTGGTTAACTCTGGTTAATAATTCTGTTTTTCTGGTTTTCTGATTTCTAGTGTGGGCAGCACATTTTTGATCAGATACATACATATGGGTACACTTTAGTAACAGAATCTGACAGCACCTCCTTCAGTCATTGACAGTTAGCTCTGAGGATGCTGGTGTATAAAATAATTCATTTAATAATATTAATAAAAACACAAAAGATGCTGTTGACCCAAAGACATTTGGGAGGTTGGAGCTAAATACTATGGTCATACAAATTCATGTTATTTTGAGAGCTATATGCTTATTCTATGCCCTGCGATGGACTGGCGACCTGTCCAGGGTGTATCCTGCCTTCCGCCCAATGACAGCTGGGATAGGCTCCAGCACCCCACCGTGACCCAGAAGGATAAGCGGTTTAGATGATGTATGTATGTATGTATGTATGCTTATTCTAAGTTTGATGCCTGCAATATGTTCCAGAAAAGTCAGGACAGGAGCATGTTTACCACTGTGTTACATCACCTTTTCCTTTAACACTCAGTAATCTTTTGGGAACTGAGGTCACTGATTGTTGTAGTTGTGAAAGTTGATGAGCTTTAGCCCAGAGAAGTTGATGGTGTTTCTGGACATTTCAAAAGAACACGGAAGATCCTTAAAATGCGGCCAAGAAATGCAGCCTTCTTCTGGCTGAATTCCGTGGATGCTCCAGGATATTTTCCCCAGCCCTTAATTCATAAAGGAGCAGGGCCAGTTTAGAAAAAAAAGGTTTTTAAATGTATGTTGCATTCACAGGTATGAAATTACTGCAAGCTGTGGATAAGTGTGTCTTGTTTCATTCATTTAATTTCAGCTTGTGTTTTTTTTTTAATTCCCTTTATTGACCTTGATAACTGCCTTTCTGAACTCTCACTCATTGTTCAAACACCTCAAACTCAGCTTCACAGCTGATCGGGGTCAGGAGTTATGCCGAGTCATGAATCCTCGGTAGGCCAGATCACATACTTGCTGCTATAAAAGTGGATGAGGCTCCTCTGCAGAATGCTGCTGCTAAGGACACTCTACCTAGCAATGGCCTTTAAATGAGACACACTGAGTGTCACTGCTAGGTTGAGTGTGGACCTACAATCAAAAATATCCAGAAAAGTGCAGCTCTCTGGTCAGAAACTAACCTGACCATTGATGAAGGGGTACTTTTCATGTAATTTAATAAACTATGACAAAAACATGTGACAGTAAAATGGAAACAACTTTGTCTCTTTCTTAATATATACATGTAAATAATAGTTCTATGAAAATATTCAGAAAGGGAGCCTTTTGCCCCTTTTCTGGGAGATTTGGTGCCACCATTTGATCAGAAGAGAAAGTAAGGGGGGACATCTTACTCTGGGGGGCTTCTTCCGCAAGTTATCCTACACTATACACACCAGACGACACACAGCAATTAAGTAAAAGCAGAATAATCCTACCTGGAATAAACAGCAGAATGATCAGTGACAGGACTCCACATCTGGAGCACATGGTTCCTTCTGACCTGATCACAGCAGAAAGCAGAACATATATTTTCACCAACTTGTTTGAAATGAGCCTTTTTTTGCTATTTTTATGCATAATAAATGTTACAGTATTACAACATACGCTACCATTCAAAAGTTTGGAATCAATGTTTTCAATAATATAAGATCACTTTGGTTGCAGAGTAAAATAAATCTGATATGTTTGTTCTGTGCAACTTTACAGCTTAGGAGGACTCTTATATGATGAACAGAGCTGTAGAAGATTCTAAATTGACCAATAAAGCTGAAGAACATCAAGAATTAAGTTCAAATAAAATTGAAGCTACACTTTTGGGGATTTGGAGGCCTCTCTGGTAGAAATGTGTAATTGCATGCTACATTTAAAAGAACATTAAGTAGCGTAGGTTGTGCTGTGGACCCCTTCCCCAAGCAGACGAATCTGATAATTCAAAGAGAACTCAGTCGAAACTTGGTGATGGACGCGTCTTCTGAGTGAGACAATTATCTAATATTGTCATCATATCAGTATAAGATAGTAGATAGATAGATAGATACTTTATTGATCCCTAAGGACATTTAGCAATAATGTTGATTTTGAGATCATTTGAGACCTAAACATTGAGCCGGACCTTCTTTTTGAGTCTGTGTGTGTGACGAATATGAGACGTATGATGTGATGTGAAAAACTCCCGACCCGGCGCCTCTGACTTTTAAATGATTATTTCAGGCTTTACAGGGTGACTCACAGCAGCGCACGCTCAACATGTTTTAGCCTGCTTTTATTCTCCTCACTCAGTAATGATACTTTCAGTTCTAACAAAAAATGTAATGTTCAGAATTCATATTTCAAAAGTGGAACATATAGATGCAAACAGATGCAAGTGGATAAATAAAGCACTGTTTATCATTTAATAAATTTGTGTTCCCATAATTCTTAAAATATTGAACACAACATCTAAAAATACTTTTTGGTGAACAGTTCGTAATATTTAACTCCATATGGTATAAGTGAGCATTATATATAAAATAACAAAAATGTTAATATATTACAAGTGATTCCAAACTGTTAGGGAACACAGAACTAAGGTAAATGCAGATGTTTAGGCACTTATTTTTCATGATTCTTTGTAAACTTATTGTAATGTTTTCAATAATGGCCAGAATACCTTAAGGTCTTTCAGGTGAAGATGATGTGCCTATCCACGCTCCACCTACAAATATGTTTCCCTGTGGCTACTACAGCTTTACCAGCTTCACAGAATGCTGGTAAAAAATCCCACTGAATCAGAAACTATAGAACAGACTCGTTTATATCACAATACCTACATTTAGAGTCGGTTATTCATTCAGCCTAATGAGAAACTGTAGAACAGACTCAGTTTATATCACAATACCTACATTTAGAGTCGGTTATTCATTCAGCCTAATGAGAAACTGTAGAACAGACTCAGTTTATATCACAATACCTACATTTAGAGTCGGTTATTCATTCAGCCTAATGAGAAACTGTAGAACAGACTCAGTTATATCACAATACCTACATTTAGAGTCAGTTATTCATTCAGCCTAATGAGAAACTGTAGAACAGACTCAGTTTATATCACAATACCTACATTTAGAGTCGGTTATTCATTCAGCCTAATGAGAAACTGTAGAACAGACTGAGTTTATATCACAATACCTACATTTAGAGTCGGTTATTCATTCAACCTAATGAGAAACTGTAGAACAGACTGAGTTTATATCACAACACCTACATTTAGAGTCGGTTATTCATTCAACCTAATGAGAAACTGTAGAACAGACTCAGTTTATATCACAATACATACATTTAGAGTCTGTTATTCATTCAACAATCAAAATGCCTGCATTTAAGGTGTTATTAAATTCATTACATTTATTTTATATGCCTGTTGAAGGTCACATGCCAACAAAATAGAGAAGTAACTATAAAAGAATACTGAGCATTATAACCAAATCTTCTAACACAATCATGTACACTCATCTCGACAGCTTCCCGATTTCCTGGCAACGGTGGCTAACACTGTCTAAACATGTCCAGTTTACACTTTCAACAGCCAGAATTACTGGCAAGACATGGAAGTTAACCTGGACAACTGAAGTCATTGACCAGTCCAGAAGACAAGAATCTCTAGAATATACAGAAAAAAACAACAAACCATTGTGCAGGATCTGCAGGAAGTATTGGCTGATAGTTATTTAAAGATCCACAGAATTTACCATACAGCTGTGTGAGATTAGAGCAGCTCACCCACCCAAGTTACAGACTAACACAGAGAGAAAGATGAACAGTTCTATGTGGGAATCCATCATCAAAGTGTTTTCCCTTCAGACAACTTGCAGTTTTGACACTGGTGGGAGAAACTAAATAAGCTGGACCTGATTTGTCCCTTCAGACAAGTTCTCAGTCAGAAATGATTGACAGTGCAGATGGTGTGAGAGCAAAAACATCTTTAGCCTTCTGATCGAGCTCTGGAGCGACTGGAGACCTTCTGAGATTTTCCTTTCAAAAACACGATTCAAAACATTCAGTCCTGAAGTGTGAGATGGTAACTGAATGAGCGATTCAGGCCACAGCCACTGAGAGAGCTGGGAAGGATAAGAAGGAGAAGTGTATGTACGTTGTGTGGTTAGCAGACCACCAAGATAGAGGAACTGCTTGGTCAATGCAGGCTTTATAGTGTTTGTAACATTTATAACATATGGACCCAGACGTCAAGACGTCAGGCAGATGTTTCGTTTTTTTACCTTGTACTTAGTGGACCACAGTTTATTTACTACTATGTACATTTTTACTTAGTAGTAAATAAACTGTACATTTTTTGCACAGTACTGTAAGTCAGCAGATACTTACACTGACCAGAATGCCCAAAGCTTTTGTATTCAACTGTGTTCAGATTATTACATTCCTCACAGTTTAAAATGACAGATTATATCAGGTTTCACACAGAACAGTTTTGGTAAAGAAAATTTGGTAACAGTTTCTATGAATGTCATGTTAAGCATCTATAAACACATTCATAGCATGTTGTAATTTGTTCCCTCACCCGTTCTAATGTCAAGCGCTAGAACCCTTCACTCTGTAACATCACTACAGTACAGTACAGCTAATTTCTGTTAGCATTCTATTGAACATGCAGTGTTAAGTTAGTGCCAAGCTAACGGTGGTGTACATTGACTTTCCCACATTGGGTAAAACACTGATGGCAGCTCTAGTTTAAACTCTGACATTTGAAGCCTGTAATGTGCTTTATTGTGAATGTTTTAGTGTTTCAGTAAATCCTTCAGTAAATACTTCAACTTGAAGCCTCACTCTTAACACTGGAGGAGGCTTTAGTACAGTACGCTTCACTTTACTTAGAGCGGACAAAACCGACTTATGAGCTCTTATAATTTGTTATGAACAGTACTTACAATGCATAATGTTAACAATTCATAATGCATAATTAGCATGGCTATAACGTGTAATGCATCTTAAAAATATTTATAGCCATGTCTATGATGCCCTATGAATGCATTATTGACATAATGTATTATGAATGTGTTAAGTTTTTATAGACATAACATTCATAGAAAGTGTTAGCAAAACTTTTACTTACATTCTGTTGCGAGGACTTCTCACACACACTCATGAGAAATGTGAAGGGTGTGTGCGTTTTCTCTGCCTAGTCTGAATAATTATTTCTCAACATCCAGCTGTAACTTCC